CCATGAGGTGACCACGCTTCGCTGCCTCCTGCATTATCCTCAAAAATAATAAGACCTCCCTGGATAATAAGCCCAAGCGGGCCTTTGAGCGCATGCGCTATAATAAGCCCTCCCCCAAAATATTGCGACACAGCAGCAACCATGAGGTGACCACGCTTCGCTGCCTCCTGCATTATCCTCAAAAATAATAAGACCTCCCTAAAAATAAGGCCAAGCGGCTTATTTCAGGGATCAAAAGAAAATAAGACTCTGTTTTATTTTTGGGGAAACACGGTACGTCAGGCCTCCAAGCCATCTTTTCTCTTTGGATTTCAGGACTGTCACACTTCCTACTGTGGGAAAATGGGAGGGGGAATTATATGGAGTTGGGTGATATGTAGCCATAACAACATTCTCCTTAGAAAGTCAAGGTCGTTTTTGTCTCTGCACCTGGCCAGAACTGGATGTGGCAACAATCATGTGCCAACAGGATTAATGAAGTGGAACTTTGAGGAAACACAAGCCTCGGAGTTTTGTTTTGTTGGGGGTGTTTTGGAGAACCCTGACACTACCATGTTTTCCTGAAAATAAGACCAAACTGGAAAATAAGCCCTAGCATGATTTTTTTTCAGGATGCTCATAATATAAGCCCTACTCAAAAAATAAGATCCAATTAAGATCGTCAGCCAGATGGACTCCTTTTAGTATTGTATTTCTCCAAAAATAAGGCCTAGTGCAGTGATGGTTAGCCTTTTTGCCGAGACATGCCAAAAACGGGGGGAGCGCCATGCCCACACCCATAATGCAATGCCCTCCCCACTCCTGAAGCCTGGGGAGGGCAAAAAACAGCCCAACACCCAGACTGGAAGTTCGGGAACGGACTTCCAGGCTGCATGTTGGGCTGTTTTCCTCCCTCCGGAGGACAAAAAACGCCCGAAAATCAAGGCTGAAAATCAGCTTGCCAGCACACTGGAGCTGACAGGGCAATGCCTTGCGTGTCCTCAGGAATGGCTCCACGTGCTGCGTGTAGAATGCATGCCATAGGTTTGCCATCACGGGCCTAGCACATCTTTTGGATTCTTTGCCTGAAGGTGCAATTCCTTATTCTGACACTTCTTTCTTTTCAGAGCCACCAGGACCCAGTAGTTAAAGTGCTGGACCAGGAATTGGGGACCCAAATTCTAGTCTTCCTTTAGACCCAGCAGGGAGATGTTGGGCCAGTCCCTCCTTCTCAACCTTAAATAAATAACTGCAACAAACAGGCCGATAACCAAAACCTCTTGCTGAACTATGTGCTGATAGCTTTGCAGTAAAAACTAGGAGAGCGGCCGTTAAGGGATGAAAAATAATAACAACATTCTTTTTCTCACTCTCTCACGTCTTTACTGATTTAAAAGGCTTTTCATCCTTTGTTCCTGGGCCTTGAAGGTGGCATTTCTTCAGCTGGCAAACTTTGGCTGTGACTTTTAACTTCCATACTGGCTATAAACCGCTGACATCGCCAGGTGAAAAGCCTGAGCAACAGAAAGTGTGTGTGTGGGGGGGGGCAGAGGTGGGTTCCTACCAGTTCGCACCTATTCGGTAGAACTGGTTCATCAAATCTACCGAACCGGTTAGAAGAGGTTTCACCAATGGACCCGGAAAGCAGGCCACACCTACAGAAGAGGATCCAAAATTTTTTGAAACTCACCACTGGCAAGGATCTTGTAACTTGACAGCTTTAAGACTTGCATGCTTCAATGCCAGAGTTTCTGAATAGCTACTTGGACCGACCTAAGTACTAATTCATAATTTCATATCCGGTCACATGGGCGGAAAGCCACTCCCACAAAGGAGGCCACTCCCACAGAGTAGGTTTGGAAATTTTTTTGAAACCCACCACTGGGAGGGGGGGGGGGAACTGAAACCAAAAGATGATGTTCCCCAGCATAAAGAATTGGAGGGACTAGCTGTTGGATGCAGCAGACCACTTCCTGCAAAGAAATGGCGCAAGCTTCCTTGCTAACCGGACTTCGCTAAAGAGGGCCTTCTTCATACTGTTTCTCCTATTCTTATTTGATCTAAAAAATTTTTTTAAAAATCCATGTAGTAAAATTCACTTCAGATAGACATTTTAACCTTTGCTGCTTTCTCAATTTGTCAAGCTGCTTAGAGAACACTGTTTTCTTTTTATAAAGGCTAAGGTTCTCCCGCACACATGTGCTAGTCGTTCCTGACTCTAGGGGGCGGTGCTCATCTCCATTTCAAAGCCGAAGAGCCAGCGCTGCCCAAAGACCTCTCCGTGGTCATGTGGCCGGCATGACTAAACGCCGAAGGTGCACAGAACGCTGTTACCTTCCCACCAAAGATGGTCCCTACTTTTATAATTGCATTTTTTATGTGCTTTCAAATGGCTGGGGTGGCCGAAGCTGGGACAAGTAGCAGGAGCTCACTCCGTTATGCGGCGCTAGGGATTCGAACCGCTGAACTGCCGACCTTTCTGATCGACAAGCTCAGCGTCTTAGCCACTGAGTGTCTTTTTACGACTCTGTAATGCCTTTAATATCTGATTCTGAGATATAAATACAGCAAGTAGAAAAAACAACAACAACCACCACTAACTATGTCAAGCAAACAGACCCTCCTCCTCCTCCTTCCAGCCCACGTACATTCGTGTGTGTGTGTAGAAACATGACACTCCACAAGAACACAGTGTGCCACTACTGCGATCACCAAATCCAAGGTTGGGAATGGGACAAACTCTGGTTAGCCCTTTCTGAGAGGATACGCTCCTGCTCCTGCTGGGAGTCGATCACCCGCTCGATGTGACCCATAAGAGAGCTCTGGACAGCATCCAGGTGATCTGCCAGCCTTTGCATCAGATCCATCTGATTTTGTCTCTGTTCAGCAATCTCCCTTTGCTGGGTCCTGAGCAGAGACATCAGCTCCTCCTGGTATTCAGGAGCACTCTGGAAGGAGAAGGCACAAGAGAAACATCAGCCTGCTGTGATTTTGATGAGCTGCGGTGGCGCAGTAGTTAGAATGCCATATTGCAGGCTAATTATGCCGACTGCCAGCAGTTCGATTCCTGATCAGCTCAGGGTTGACTCAGCCTTCCCTCCTTCCGAGTTGGGCAAAATGAGGACCCAGATTGTTGGGGGCAATAGGCTGACTCTGTAAACTGCTTAGAGAGGGCTGTAAAGCACTGTGGAGCGGTATATAAGTCTAAGCGCTATTGCTATTTTCAGTGGATCTTGCTGCTTTATTCAGAGGAAATCCCATTGTCCCTCAGGTAGGGAATGAATTGGTGGACAAGTCATTTGGGAGAAAGGCAGAAAAATATTCATAAATGTTGCAAACAAAGGAACGTTCGGGATGAAGCATTTATTTCAATTAAGGCCTTGAGTTCAGAAGAACTACATGGAATGTCCATGTTCTAATTTGCCTCCTTGATACAGATTTCAAAATTAATTTATTGTACCACTTTTAAATACATCAGCGTGGCTAGGCTTAACTTAGGCTGGATTGAGAGACAATTATTCCAACAGCCTTACTTTCTCTTGATAGAAGCAATCAGATCAGCAGATCAACTTTTAACCAATAATAATAGCACTTAAGACTTATATACCGCTTCACAGTGCTTTACAGCCCGCTCTAAAATGGTTTACAGAGGCAGCCTATTGCCCCCAACAATCTGGCTCCACATTTTACCCACTTGGGAAAGAGGGAAGGCTGAGTCAACCTTAAGCTGATGAGATATGAACTGCCAAACTGCTGGCAGCCGGCAGTAGTAGCCTGTAGTACTGTACTCTAACCACTGTGCCTCCACAGCTCTTAACTATAACTATAAAGTTTTAAATTCTTAAGACAAACATGATCATTGATGCAAATGATCAATATCTAGGGACAGAGCCTTAACAACTGACATTATTGCATGATTTAATTTCATCCCACAATTCTAAAACCTCTGCAATTTTGGAGGAGGGGATAGGAACAGAAAGGCACTCCTTATTGGGGGAAGAGAAACTGCAAAATAAATTTTAAAAAGTTTGCACCAACCTGCTGATCGAAGGACCTTGGGGATGGTGGCGCATCCCTAAAACCAAAGAGAAGATGTTAAAGGATGCACTGTCGTGATCACAACGTCAATTTAGATGGCTCTTCCCTCAATGGAAAACAACCCTCTTGTGATAATTTCTTACTCCCAATAACCGAATCAAGGACCTGTTTTCTCAACACCAGATTGACAGCAACAATAAAAGGAAGCACCTAAGTAAAAAGGCCAAGGATAAATTCCTAACTTAACAAGGATAGCTGTGGCTTCCAATGTTTGTTTGTTTATTTTGTTGTTTGTTTATTTCATTTGTATGCCGCCCTTTTCCCCAAGGGGACTCAGGGCGGCTCACAACTCAAACAAAGGAAGGGGGATACAGACAATTTGACAACAACACAAAACAATACATAATTTAAAAGCGCAACAATCATACCATTCAAGATAGGGGCAACGATTCTTTAGCCCCAGGCCTGTCGGAATATTGCAGTGGTTTGATAGCTCTATATGAAA